GTAATGAGAAGTGGTATTTTATCAAGGCCAGGTTACTAAATTTGAGTTGGAAATATTAGAACCCGCCGTGGCACTTCCAAGAAGGTTACATGTTTACGCGTCGTATACCTGGAACCATTTTAAGGTAAACTTAGAGGGATTGATATCTTTCGTATGCCTAGCGCGCAGACGAGATTTTATAATTTCATAGTTTTAAACGGCCTAAATACCTTAACTCGCTTAAAAAACAACGAGCTATAACGAAATGGGCACAGAAATAAAATCTAACATTATTAAATTATTTTTCTTATTTGCATAAAAGCGCGGGGTGAAACCCGCGGGTATAACCTAGTTGTTATAATAAATTACAATTATTGTTTGTTACCATTTCGGTCAACCGCGCAAATTATTTATTAAAAAAAAATGTCGTTTAAAAATACCAGATTTTGTTTACTTTTGAATAAGACTTTATCGAGTGCGCTATAAAGACAGGGGTATAAATACTGTAAAGAAATATATTACCTTGTTTATACCTACGCAAGAACCGCATTAACAAAAAGCTGATTTGACTCAACACATATTTCTTTCAACCATTTATACCTGTGTCGTTATAGCGCACTTGCTGAAACCGTATTCAAAAGTAAACAAAATTGTTATTTTTATGCGATATTCCTTAAAGAATTAATTTGCGCGGTGGACCAAAATGGAAGCTGAAAAAATTCAAATTTGTTATAATAATAATTCAGATTTAAAACGGGCCGTATAAAGAAAACCAGCCTTTTTTCACTTCGCGTCAAATGAGTGATTTGTTTATACCTGTTTCTAAGCGATTTGAAAACAAATTCGAGTCAATGCACTTTTGAATTTCTGAGCGTATTGAAAGTTGGTATGCTTCCGTTTTGAATCACATCGAACTGGTGTTGGTATAAACAAGGTATATGTTGAGTCCAATCGGTTTTTTGTTAATGCGGTTCTTGTGTAGGTATAAACAAGGTATATGAAAAAAATTACTTCTCCATGAAAAAATATCGTTATTTTCGTATTTAAAATTAATCGGAATTTTATGGGGGGTTATAAAAACTCGTTTTAATCGAAACTTAGTTTTGCGGCTATATTTGTTATTATTTATTGGCCCAGATGTAAATATTGAATGAACTAACATAATTTAAATATTTATGGAACTACCATTAGTATGCAACCCTGCCTATCATATATTCAAGTAGATGTAATTCGAAAAATTTAAACGGATTTCTTCAAATCAACCTGAGCTGCGGACATATTGCGAATTCATTTTTAAACATTACCCACTACATTATATTAGTATTAAATACTTTCAATAAAGAAACAATTCTTATTAGAACATAAATATGAATTGTTTTATTTTAAATCAGCGAATTTATATTTTTTGTTAATGCAGATAGTGCGGATTTAACGTATTTTATATCCGTTACATGGGGAACATAAATTTAAGGCAGATTGCTATTAACAATTTTGATACAATTTACGATTGCAATCAATTTCTTTCAAAACTATAATCTAAATGATTGCAAGTTGTATTTTTACGATCAAAACAGATTCCAATATTAGGTATATTATGCAAATGCAATCCAATTTGATTTGAGTTATTCAGGTTTAGATACATTTATATTTCTGTGTTTGTATGGAATATTAGTTTATGTCGGGAAACTGGCTTTAGTATAATCTGGCATTCCCTTTATTATTTACAACACAAGGAATTTTTCGATGACCCTTAACAAGAATATTGACTTTCTAGTATCGGAACCATTTCTTTCACGTTTCTTCAACGGCTCGGCGCCAGTGAGTTATTTGCAAGGGTATGCTGCGAATGCCGCATTATACTAAAGCCAACCTTTGGCATAACCTAATATTCCATACGAACACAGATTTCATTACATACTCAAATTTCACATACAAAACGGAGCATTCATAATCTTTTACTGGTACCAATTTTCGTCGTCGTTATATCATAATCTAATTTTCTCATGGTTCGGTTAGTGGGGCACGTGCGAAATGTGGATTTTCCCCAGTTGCAGTACTGCAGTAACTCGACACCTTCCTCACCAACAGCTCTGTCCTCTATAAGCTTCTTAATGAAACTGCAAATGAATGAAAAGAAATAAAAGATGGAAATTTAAGAAAAATTAAATACTATCACAGCGTTTCACTAACGATAATGGTATTAAATCCTCACGACTGCTGCTTTTCCTTTGTACCCAAGCCCAGGTACATGCTGAACAAGCTGTAATGTGCATTTTCGCTCACCTCAACATCGTCGAATTAATTCCATTAGAATGTAGCAATGTATGTACCACAATGTCAGTTAACTCAATTGATAGTCTCGCAAATTGATTGGCAATTATCGCTCGCCTCGGATGACTCCACTCTTCAGTTTGACTTAACTATATACTAAAAATATATATAAAAAAGTTGCGTTCCAAATACTTCACGATTTGCAGGTTTTTACAGGAATCTGTTCCAGGTGGCCAGCTTCCATAAAGTTTATTAATGGCGAAAACAGCTTTTCCTCCAAATCCTGTAAAACCTAGAAGTTTTATTTTTATTTATTTATTTGTTACAGTCTTGCGACTTAAAAGTACAGATAG